CTCATAGCTAGAATGAATTAGGAAGGCATCCAAAAAAGGAAAAAGTGGCTGGTAATGCTTATTGTCTTTCTTAAAAAATGATTTTGCAGCAGTAAATCTAGCTGTGAACTGCTTCTGTTACTGCTTCTGAACTACTTGTTCAGAACCTGTTTTTTTTTAAAGAAATGATCAGTAAGTTTTCTGTCCTTGAGGAAAGTATGTGTATAAGGAGATAACATTAAAAGGTTTAATTTTAACTAACACAGTAATTCTTAAAAATAAAAAAATCTCTCATGGTGAGGGAAGAACGTGAATGCTGATGTTTGATTTGTCCATGTAGCAAGCTTACAAGCAAACAGATATTCTTTTTTTTAAAAAGGTAATCAACAGATATAAGACTTAAAACATGGTTCCAATTTTGAGAAATGACTGCAAGCATGTCACCTATTTGCCCCCAACTTTTTTTTAAGTGGCTCTTTGGTTTAGTAACAAAAGCAAGTTTTTCTGTTTGCTTTTTTTTTTGTTTGTTTTTTTAAAGCTCTCATCAGCCTGGTACAGCTGGGGAGGAGGCAGCTGTGCTCAGCTCTGGCACATGCAGCACTTCAGCTAAATCCCAATTTCTGAATCTTTGTCAGTGGGGGGTTTATAACAGAGCACAAAGTGGTACAAAGAGGAACTGCAAGGCCCAAGAGTACGCAGACCTGTCCTTTGTTTATAGCGATCACGCGGTTGTTTCCATCAAGAATTATCTGTCTTTTGATATCACAGCAGTTCTGATTTCATTATAAGTTACCTAAGGAAAGAGTCCAATGCTTTTGTTAATTCCATCTTCATTGGTGGTGTTCTGACATTTTGTGTTTTACTTTTATAAGATATAGTTAATATTTCTGTTTGATATTTTGAGTAGTATTTTAACCTGCAGTTTATATCTAATCTGTACTTTGATAATCCATCTCTTGGGTTAGATGTTAACCAGATCGCAGTTGTCATATTAGTTCTTTTTAAGGTTCTGCTTGGATTAAAGCTCAGAGTTAAAGAATGCTCTTTTTGACTTGTTTTTTTCTATGTGAAAATCTGCATTTTCCTTCAAAAAGAATGCATTTGCAACTCCTCTAAGGTTTGGGACACTTGTATGATAATGATGAAGAACTGAGAGTGAGTAATTTAGAAATCCTGGATATGATTATGCTTTATTTTTCGCATTTTCTTCGTATGTAATTTAGAGAGTAATTTTCCCTTCTCAATAGATAAAATAGAGGAAAATCAAGGTCCTTCTGATGGCTGATATACATAGGCAAAAGAAATCTAAATCTGAAGGTTATGATGCCCTCCACTTGCTCTTGTCTCCATTGGTTTCTTGCCCTACTTTACGTCACTTCTCCCCATTGGAGCCATCTCTGGCTCACCAATTTCAGAGGTAGATTCAATTGATGCACCACTTCTTTGGGGGAAGATTCTCAGCCATACTGGTTGGGAACTCGATCAGTTCTCAAAGGAATTCAGGAAGTACAAGAATGGCATGAGGCCAGAAGGTGAGGGTTCCTTGACAGAAGCTGGAATAATCTTCCCTCTACGTAATCAAGGGATAGGTAAATTGGCTGTAGTCAGCTTGGTAACTTTACCCTAACAGTGCCTGCCTTGACTGTCAGCTGAGCAAGGCCTTGCAGAGGCAGAGTTCTTAGGTCAGGGCAGGCAGTCAGTGGGGATGTGCATGTGTACTCAGTCATAATAAGGAATCCTTTTTGCCATGTTAGGTTAAACTTGCTACTAGACATTTGGTTATGTTCACCCACGTTGTTTTTCCTGTAGCAAACCACTGTACTGAGAAAAAGACCAGAAAGGAGGTTTAGAGGCAGCAACAGCATAAGCACCACTTGCTGGGCACTTCCACCCTATGCTGTAGACACTCTTGCCATGCAGATGACTGAAAAGGACTTCTCAGTAAATGACTGGAGAGAAAGTTCTCTGGAATGCAGCATCCTTGTATCAGGCTGGCAGTCATCTTCTCCATGAATTTATGGTACTAACTTTGATTGTTTAAAAAAAAAAAGTCCATTTACCTCATTGGAATTTCCATCTTTTGGAAGACAACACAGAATTGGAATTCTGGACTGATGCAGCAGCGGTTCCAGCCAGACGTGTTTGTCTGGCAGGGGCTGACAGCCACTTGATGCCAGGAAACACTTTGGGTTCCCTTCCTTGTGCTGACACAAGGCACAACTGGGGGTGCCACCTACTAATGCCAGTATAACTTCTCCTCCCCTAATTCAGATTAGTAGATAAATGGGTGCTATTATTAATTACTGAATAATTTGAACTACTTCAGGGAGAAAACTGATGATGAGAGTGTAGGTGAAGGGTTGTCTCAGATACAGTTGCAGACAGCATACATTGCAGTGCTATGGTTTGGGGCAAACTGTTTCAAATTCTTTTTATAGCTAGGGCATCTAAAAAAAAATATCTAAATCCAACACTTTGCTGTAGAGGCCCTCTCTGGAATACCAAAGTAAACTGCAGTGTGGATTAAGAGCAAGAGGATTATTTCTTCAGCAGAATAATCTGTGAATTGTGTTTACGCTGACTAAAGCCAGCTTCTGCAAATGCTTTAAAATTGCACTCTTTCTTGAAATCTGCTCTTTCAGTGAGCGAAGGCAGGTTGCCTTTACTCCTTTAATAATGCAAGATGGAGCACTCGAAGTGTTAAGGTAGCGATGTAACCTACAGGAGGAAGATGTGATGTCAACATCTCTGCAGCGGCACACCTCTGTGCTCCTGCTCACATAGCTTCCAAAAACGATAGCCCAGAAAGCTGTGGAAAATTGTAGGCAACTGTACCAGCTCTCACTTTTTTCTTTTTCCTAAGAGCCAAACTGGCCTTTATGCGCTATTAATTTATTAAATTGTTTATCTTAGGGCAAGGCTGTATTTACAGAACCTAACGTGAAAACAGCATAGTGTAGCTTGGGATTTAAAAATGTCACTGCACATAATGTCAGGATAAATGGAACAGGAATGAATCTAAATTCCATCTACCCTGATGCTTCCCAAACTACTTTTTAAATCTGCTTCCAGCCAAACCTCTTAAGAAATATACCTGGCAAATAAAAATGTTCTTCATAATCATTGGAGACACTAAATATTAGTTAGCCTTGTCCCAAAGACAATAGAGACACTGCTTTTCTTCTTCCTACCTTAATCACTGTAGGTATCTTATTTTGAAATTGTTTTCACCTTCCACCAAGGAAAGGTCAAGCTGGAATATAACTGTCTTAAAATAATCTTTACATAGTAGGATTTCTTAGACTCTTTGGACAAAGACCTTGTTTCCCATTTTGAGCAATCTTTTTTCTGCAGTAGAACACTGAATGTGTCTCCCTGTTGCTATAGAAATAGTATTGCATTAAATGAGGGAACCAGTGCCCTGCTGTCAACAAAACTAGTCTCTGGAGCTTGAATTTCACCATTGGGAAGATGTATACACAATTCTACAGATTATTTCTGCAGCTTATGCATAAATGTCTCTATACTGTGAAACTGTTATCTAAATTTCCCAAAGTGATAGCAAGTGGATTAGCATGGTGTAATCTGTTTACTCATCTCCTAATTAAGACTTCCCCTTCATCTTTTCCCCATCTCCCTCCCACACAGAATATATTTTTGTATTTATAGACTGAAATTTCCAGTTCTTTACATAGGAAGATGAGGAGAAGGAGGGCAAGCAGCTTTCTCACCAGGCTCCCTGACCCACAGACAGTAAGAAATACTGGATTTAATCTTTTTTTTTTTTTTTTTTAAACCCAACTCCTCCAAGTAACTCAAGATGTTACTTGCCCTGTTATTTTGTTTTCCAGCACTAATAAGGATTTTTTGAAAGGATGGCCCAACTCACCATCCACCTTGTACATTAAAAATCCCACATACCCACCTGTTTTCCTCTAGTTCCAAGACACGCCAGATACCCAGTATTTCTAAGTTACACTGAGATTTTGCTCCGAAACCTTTATATTCTGTTCATAAGTTAAAGATGAGCACTGTGGATTCCCTTCCCTTGAACCAACACAACACATATTAAATCTCACACTTGTCTTTACATTTAGATGTATGGATGTGATATTTTTCAGTAATTTTTTAAGTGTCAAATTCTACTAATTCTAGTAATAGCAATAAGGTACAAGGTGTATCTTTTGGAAATAGAAAAGGAATTGAAGTCTTTACTAAAAACAGCTACCAAGGGTAAGTATTTCTCAACATTAATTAATAAGAATTTTGAAGAAATATGGATAAAAATGCATTTTGTCTGGTACATTTTTTTGATAGGAGTCCTTGCATTGCATTTCAGTGTACAATACATATATGGAGTTACAAAACTAGAACATGGACTTGTACGCAAATGTGTAATTCTGATGTCAGAGTTCCTGTAAAATTCCTCTCATTTCTTCGTTAACAAATTCAGTTATTTTTTGTGAAACATGCTTATTAGAAAATGGTTTTGTCATAAAGAAGTCACCACAAGACAGTAATTCCATTTTTGCTGTTAAAGTAGTTCTTCTAATGAAAAAATGAATGAATTTGTTTGTGCAACTATAAAATATAAACCACATCTTAACCTGTTTCTTTCCTTGTGTAAAGCTGACTCACACCATACAATGTGGCTGCATTTTTCTCCAGATTGTCAGACTATAGATGACAAGAACTGGCCCGCCAAAGCTTTTCATGCAAAACATTGAATACGAGGTCATCTACTGCTGTGTGATCTGTTGGTTCCTCTCCAGAGCGTTACTTAATGAAAATTTCAGAGAATGGCTGAGTAATTGATAAAGGAGGGGGGAAAAAAACAGGACGGAAGGGGCTGTGCGAAAATATAAAGTGAAGATATATTCCCTATTCTGTATCATTACAAACCCAATACTGAATATTTTCTTACTGTATATGGTATTTCCATTAACAAAAGCAAACACTGAAGGTAGGAGAAGATAGCATGAACAGTAAAACGTGGTTTTGTGGTGTTTTCTTTTCTGTAGGAACCCAGTGGAGAAAGGACCAAGAGCAAGATTTAAAGAGCGTTCTGAAAAACACTGACCAGGACATCCCGTTGGTATTTGTCAGTGGAAATCATGATATTGGCAATACTCCAACAAGAGAAACAATAGATAATTATTGCAAGAGCTGGGGAGATGACTACTTCAGCTTTTGGGTAGGAGGTGTTTTCTTTCTTGTGCTGAATTCTCAATTGTACTTTGATTCTTCCAAATGCCCAGAGTTAAAGCAAGCTCAGGACGCATGGCTAAATGGGCAGCTGGCTGCTGCCAGAAAACATAAATGCAAGCATGTAATAGTGTTTCAGCACATCCCTCTGTTTTTGAGAGAGCCTGATGAAGACCATGATTATTTCAACTTGGAAAAATCAGTTCGACATGAGATAATGGAAAAGTTCCATAAAGCAGGTAATTTCTTGAGTTCTCCTTTCTCTGAATTTTTGCTTCCAATTGTTAGTGGCTACAGTGCCAGGAAAACAACAACAAAACTTGCATAGTACTGTTTTCAAGAAGTTTGGGGTACTGTTTATAAGACTTGTTCCTCTTAGGTCAAAATTATCAACCAAACCCTAACATCTGTCAAAAGAACCCAAAATAGTTTAAAACTTTGGAAAGAAAAATAAGTGAGAAACTTTTAAAAGATGCAGCACAGATTTCACTTTGCAAGTACTGGTGAATACTAGACAACCTGATTTTTTTTTTTTCTGCTTAAGGAATGGAAGATCAGGTATTGCCATATGACAAAAGTACAGATTCTTCCCCCCCCCCCCTCATAAAACAGAAACAGAATTCGGAATTACCTTGCAGGCTGTTTTCTCTCCCAGTGAGCCAATTTTATAGCATCATCCAGATTTATTCAGTGCTAAAGAGTCTTGCTCTGCTATGATCCACCCTCTTTTTTATCTGTTCCTAATAGAGGTCATTTCTGGGAATAAAAGGCAGGTAGAGCATGCTTTGAATGAGAACATTGTAGCAAATCCCTTAGCTTTGTGTGATGAAACTTGAATGCCATGGAGACAGGTACACTGTGCAGTCACCTCTCCACATTGTTCCCACTGTTTCCTGCTAATTGCTTTCATGTTTCTGAAGTGTGCTAGTCCCTCAAGATTTCCTGCCAGCCTGTCATCACTGCATCAGTGTCATTTTCTCTGTATCTATGAAAGAACAAGTTATTTGGATTACCAAACAATGGAAATTGCATATGATATTGTTCCTAATTTACCATGTAATTGTTAAGCCAGAACTCATCCAGAGCCAGTCTAATTTTCCAAGCTATGAATTTCCTCCTGTTTCCAATCAGTCAGTTGTATTTCCATTGTTAATAACACAGGATCAGACCTGGTGCTATCCCAGTTATCAAGACTTTGTGTTGATACTTTTAAGTTTATCGTTTCAAACATGGAGCCACCACGCACAGAGAGAAAGATAGAGGGACAGATGGGGAAGAAAGGACAATCTAAGGATTTCAGTCTTTCCATAAACTAAGCCAAATGGATCTTTTGGGAAATAACAAATACTTGAAGTATGGTGGTGTTACACGGAGGCTTCAGAGGTATGCAACTTCAGGAAACAACTGTTTTAAATTCTGAGCCCAAATCATATGTAAGTGGTTAGAATAGAATAACTAGACACTGCAGAATGTTTTTGGTTCAAGTATCCCCTCAATGCAAGCAGAGATAAAAGACTAGCTGTACAGGTTACATCTGGTACAAAGTACTGAATTACTTTCTCACATTAGAAGTGTCCTTAACAGTTGAGGTACTTAAAGAGAAATTCAAGTCCTTGTGATAATTATTTACAAATTGAAAATCTGACACTTGTAAATATGTATTACTACTACACAAAGTTAACCTATATTTCTAATCAGCATGTCTAAATAATTTTAATAATCTCATTTTTTTCCAAATCATTATAACAAGTAATGTCCCTGGAAAAAAACGATGTCAGAGGTAGTGAAAATCTACTCTGTTGAGAGCACAGTTTATCGTTTGAGAATACATTTGTGAAAATGTATTTCTGTAACTACTAAATGTTTAGCCTCAGTTGTCAAAGGTTGTGTGAACAATTTTTTGAATGAGGGTGAGGTCTGCTCTTCTATGTGAAATGCATATTCAGTTCTTAAGAATTTTATAGTGATGTTATAAAGAAGTGTGCTTTGTAGGGGAAAAAATAGGAATCCAGGTACTAGTCTAGCTGAAAATCTGATCTGTGTGCCAGACGTACTCCTTCTCATATATCTCATCCAAGTGTAGTTTAATTAGCCCATTGCAGCCATTTTCTATGACCAAAAAGGTATGTGTGTTTTTGCTGAGCTACGGACGATTTTTTAAAGAGCTGTTGCCTGTGAGTCATTGCTGAGACACTGAAAATCCTTAGTACATAATCCTTAGTAGTCACACAACATAGTAAAAACCCTAATTATGCAAAACATGAGGATTGATCTGAAAGTTATGCCTCCTGTTTTATTACATCAGCCCTGATGTCAGAGGCAGCTGTTGGTGGGATGGCAGCAGAGGCTGAACCTGCCCACCAACATTCCATGACAGGTTGTTGCTGTGTGACAGATGGCAGCAAAGGGGCACTGGGACAGAATGGCGCCTGACATGGAAGCGTGGGGGGAGCGAAGGGTGGAGCTGAATTCCTCCATGTGGAAAAAAGGGCCTCCAGTGACTTCCATCAATAGTTGCTCGGTATCCATAAATGTTCACAGTGGCTGTGAGCCCAGGGAGGTGTAGGTGAGTGTTTCAACAGTGGCAGTCACTTTCACTGGTGCAGATTTTTACAAGCAAGATTTTTACAACCCAGGATATTCTGTCGTTAATGTTTATCTCCCACTTTCATCAGTTGCATCAAGCTCTGGATTTTTTTAAATTGATAAAGCACGTTTAAGGACGTTTTCCTGCAAGTTTCTAGGGTCACAATCACTAACAATGTCATGTTTTTTACTAAGATTCTTGTGGTGCTGCGAACCGTAATTCTACATTTCAATTCTGTATTATTCAGAGAACACCTCTGATGAAGAAGGTAGAATAATACAGAGCTTCTAAAAGGCTACATAAAATAATTTCATAATGTTGCTATTTGAGGCTGGAGGGGTTACAAAACAAAGGCTGCTTATGCCCTGACACACCTACCAGATGGAATATTTCCTTCTCATAGAGGTCTGTGAGTGGGATCGGGATCTTTGTAGAGCAGAGTCTGAGAATTACCCGAGCACTGAACAGTCCTGTTAACAGAGCTGTGACTGGTGTTTCACATCTTGTTTGTTGCTGTATTACCTCCCTGACAGATAGGGTGATGTGAGGGCTGTGAGGCGATGAGATAAAAATCAGTTTAATGTTACAAGAGAGACTTTGATTACAAAGACTACCAAATATTATCATTTGTTTTGTAGCACTGGAGGCTTGAAAAAATGATATACACCACTTGCCCAGGGGAGAGAAAAGAGGTGCAGCAAAAAGTGCCTGTGGTTAATGTGTGCTCTTCTTGGGAAGCTGAAAGGACATCATTTTGGAGTGCAGAATTGTTCTGAGAACAGATACTACTGTTGAACCAACCACATTGTTCAGCAGTCTAAAAAGGGAAAGGAATAAAGAAAAGTCCGTTTGTGCCTGATGCTCTGGGGAAGTGCTCAAGATTAGTTTATTCTTGTGAATTAAATGGTTGTATATGCCAGAAATACTACCTGTTAAAAATTCATATCTACACGTAGAAGCATGTGGATATATGCGCGCACTCCAAGTCTCTTACCGAAGTTTGGGGTATAGCAGTTCTTTGCTTTGATTTGTTTTACTGCTTGTAAAAACTCTGGAAGGGTACCAAAGAGTGCTGATAAGTTTCAGGTGTTTCAGAGAGTTTGGTTTCATTTCCTTACAGAACTGCTTCTCCATGTTTTTGTTTCCATTTTGACTCTACTGCTGCTCCTATCTGGCTCCTGCAATTTGGGGAAAAATTCATATATGTTCAGCTGTGCCTAATATGTATTCTTTCTTCAGCCCATGATCGGTTTGACCAGGGAAGCTAGTGATTGTTTTTAAATAGGCATAATTCTCCTTTAAACTGATTTTTGCCACTTAAATAGCTAACGTAAAAGCAGAGTAATTAGATGAGAATGATGGTCCTTGTTGCCTGCTCTCATGCTTTTCCTTCTCAGGTCCTTAGGCAGAGTACAAGGCATAGAAACGCTTAAAATTTCTTCCAAGTACTCATCCAATCTTCAACAATTTTTCTGTTACTTACTAAATCACGTTATCAACATAGTGCTATTTAGTGATTTTATTTGTTCAGTTGCTTTTTGATAACTCTCAGCTTTCACAGCAATCTGTGGGAAGGAGATAGATACCCTTTTGCAGCTGGTGCTATGTGAAGAAATACCTCCTTTTGTTTGCTTTGAATTTCACCTGCAGTCTGTACTGAAGCCTTGAATCTGTAAATGAAATGCAGTGAACATTGGTTTGGGTCTGGAGTTATTTTAAAAATTGTTCATTAGCCAGCTCTTAAAGGGTAATAATTTGGGCCATCTGTCCAGTCAGAGATACTTTTTTTTCTCCCAGAAATCTCTATAGAGTGCACTGGAGGAGAAGAAAGGTCTGTGCTGAACTCATTACGTATTTATTATGTCATTCATATTCCACTAATTTAGCCTTCTCTTACAGTCTCATTTACTTTTGCTGAGAAAAGCATTTATTTAATTGAAGGCTCTGTCTAAATAAAGTATGCTACTGATTGCCTATGCTGATTACTCTAGGCTTTCTCCTCCTAATTTGGAAAATGTGCTTGCTTTTCTTTGGTTTATTTTTATATGGGTAATTTTCTTCCTGTATTTTTACACTGTCCGTAGTGCTGGTTTGAGCAGTTTGGTTTCCAACTGAGGCTGAGCCAGTTACAATGAGACACAGAAACCTACTTCAAAATAGTTTTTGTATGTGAGGAAAAAGAGTTGGAAAACAACTTCTGAACTCAGGGGGTTTTGTGAACAAGCCGTGGGAGTGTGTTACAGAAGTTAGGTTCAGACACCCTGGGATTTTAACTATTTCAGGTCTGAACTCTAGCCCAATATCCAGGTTGTATAAGGAAAAAAATGTTTTCTTGGTGCATGTAACTTCATGAAAAGTATTTCAAGGTAAATGTGAGCATTGTTTTCAGTCTTGTTTTAGCCCATTTGTACCTCTGCTAACAACACATCTAGATTTCCTTTGAAATTGGCACTCAACCTGTACTCCTTGAATTGTCAAACTAACAAGCATCCAGTTTTTCAAGAAGCTGGGAGAAGAGCACTTTGCAGAATCTTATTGTTGTATTGGAGGTCTTTTTTTCCCGCTGTTACACAAACTTTCATATACTGAGCAGTGCTGTCACTTCAGATCTCGTTTATATTGCCATGCGCATTGTTCCACTTTGTTTATTCC